GCAGATATGAAAAGGAAACTAGCTAAGAAACAACAGTGAAGACCAGGTTCCCTTTCATGGGCACGTAGAGAGGTGCAGTGTAAAAAGTGAGTGTGAAATTGAGCCACGCGGGACACACGTTCAGTGCTCCCTACACGGGCGTTGGGTGGCATCCACGTGCTCTCACAGACCCGGTCTCCCAAGGGAGCCAGGGAGCGAGGTTGCCAGAGGCAGCCAGCAGCCCGCGGGCAGGTAGTTCCAGCCCCAGCCGCCTTCTCCTGCCTGCTAGTCCGTGCTCCTTTCTTTCCTTCTCTGAACTCCGGCACTCTGTGCTTCAGCCAGGCCGGATCAGGTGATCTCCGTGGCCTGGAGGTTTTGCAGACCCGTGGGCTTTTGTCTGTGTACTTTCTTCAGCGGAGGATGCCCTGCAAGAGCTCAAATTTGCACCCTTCCCTGGTGAGGACGATGACTGTTTTACTTGTGCATACCGATTAGATGAAAAATTTAGAAAAGCCCAAATGCAAAACCACCTGGAAGAAATTTACCATGGAAAATCTTTTGAAGATGCCTTTCAGAACAGCTTTTAGGGCACAATCGGGTTTCCTCAGAAGATACCCAAATTTAGCCGGGAAGAACCAGACTGAGAGTTTAAAACTGGGATATTGGTGCCAACTCAGTTGTGTCTGAGGAGTTGCTATATCTGGCCATCCTCAGCCTTTATTTTCTTGTTTGTAAAATGGACACAGCAGTTCCTGTTCAGACTCATTTACTCCAGGGTAAGAACTTACCTTACATCTATTTAACGATTAAATAGGATTATACATGTAAAATGCCTTATAATTGCTAAAGCGACCCCAACACCTGGTATAGAGGGTTACTTGTGAGAAGGAAAGAATATACATGCTGCACACTGTGTGTGAAGAGAGAATAAATGGTCTCACCACCTAAAATGTACCTCACAGAAACCCTGATACGTTGTTTGGGCACGAAATACAAAGCTGCTTCAGCTGAGAGGATCGGTGGAAAGCCTTGGAGGCAGAGGCTTTCACGTTTCTCTCCCTGCTTTAGCGCAGGGTAATTCTGAGGCCGTGTCGGGTTGCAGAGGACGCCCTCCCTGCCCCTCGCGTGGTGGTGGGTGGCTTTGGGCTTGCTCCTCATTTGCTCACGCTGCAGAAATTCCAACCAGAACAAAGAAACCTCAGGCCAGTGTGAATTGTGGGACATTTTATTGAACACAGATGAACAGAAGTCAGATTTCCTCTGGAGATTAAGAAAGACTCCAGGTGCCAAAAGGCAGCAAAGCGAGTTTCTGAGGAAACATTCAGGGTGGAGGCAGAAGTTCAAAGGGGAATCATTTGGAGGGTGAGATAAACAGCCCTCTAGGACAGAAATGAGAGCCCCAGAGGACGGGAGGCAAAAAGAAGGCCCCAGCCTCGGAGTGAGCATGGCTGAGACTGCTCTCCCAAGGCCACCCTGGGCTCCCAGTGCCCTGGACAGCAGAGCCTGAGCTCGGGTGAGCTGCGCTACTCCCTGACCAGGCAGCTGTGTGCCACTTGCTAAACTTGTGGTGTGGCTTTGCTTAACTGGCCTAGACCCGTTTCTGCCCCCTCCGAACTGGGGCGATAATGCCCAGCTGCCAGTGTTGTAAGGACCCAGTGACATAACAGACGTGCACATGCTGACCAGGACGCAGTGGACACACATGGATTGTGAATCTGCAGTCCTTCCCCTACCCAAGCACCAGGAGTAACTTACTCCCACTCTTGAGCCTTGCCCAAGACAAATGCTTTGAAACACTCCCTAGAGGAATGAGGGAGGCTTCCAACTCTGCACCCTACAAGGCAGGGAGCTCCTGTGGAACCGCTTGTTTCAAAGGTCAAATGCTCCTGCTTCTCAGTGCCCCAGGAGAGAGGTTGGGCTGCGGGCAGGCAATCTGAGGAGGCTGCTCTGGCCGTTCCCATGAGGCTGTCGCCTCCCCCACCCCCTCTCCAAGTTGCCTCCTCCAGAGGGCTCCTCAGGAGGCCTGCAGGCGGGCCTGGCAAACGGGAGAGATGGCTTTAAGGGGTCTTGCAAGGCAAGGATAGGCCCCTTTCCAGGAAATCAAGATTTCCCCAGCGATTTATGAACAATTCTTCATGCTTGAGTGTGAAAACTAAAAACTAAGAGCATTTGGGTCCCATGTGTTTAAAAATGGCATAGAAAATAGACTCGGGTCCAAAAGCTGGATTTTAGACTAACCTGGGACTCCTGCGCCCTCATATTACTGTCCTCTTAACTCCACCTTCTTTAATACATAAAACACCCTCTCTGCATGCATGTGCACACAGTGTCACATATCACACACACGGGCACTGGGGCACATGCAGGGCGGAGGCCCTTGGAGAAGGTCTTACACCATCCAACGTTTCCTCATTTCTTCTCCAAAACAGCAAAAGCTGATACATATGAGAAGCTGGTGAAGCTTCAAATAAATAAACGACGTTTTAACAATTGCTCCCCATCATCCACCACCCTCTGTGGAGAAGATACATAATTCTTCAGTTATAAAAGCACTAGTCAGAGGGGCTGGGGATTATCGCAGTGGCACGGACGTGCACACTGCCTCACAAGTGCAAGGTCCTAAGTTCAATCCCTAGGAGCAAAGAAAACACTCGTCAGAAATAAATTTAAATTCCTTCCAGACACTATGGAGAAAGTAAATTAGGAGTATATGAGTCATATGTAAATCATAAAACTATAAAAATATTTTTAAAATCAGGAGAACATTTGAATAACTTTGAAACAAGGAGAAATCAAGCAAAAAGAAAAGCCACACAAGCCATAAGACAAAAAAGGGTTCATATAAAGATGAAAAAGTTAAACTGGGAATGGTAGTACACACCTATAATCTCAGCACTCTGGGACACTGAGGCAGGAGGATTGTAAATTTGACCTCAGCCTAGAGAATTTAGCTATGAAGTAAAACCTTGTTTCAAAATAAAAATAAGTAAGTGGTTAGGGATGTAGCTCAGGATGGGCCACAGATTTTATCCTCAGTATCACAAAATAAAGAAGGGAAGGAAGGGAAGGAGGGAGGGAGGGAACAGGGAAGGAAGAAAAAAGAGAAAGAACTTTAAAGGGGAAAAGATACCATAATCAGAATCCTATATATAAGATATTACAAAAAGTATAATAAAATGATAGATCATAAGGAATACCTCAACATATATACAGAAAACTTTCTCAAATTAAAAAAATAATTCAAAAGAAAAATTTCCAAAGCATGAATTGCACATTACAGAAGAACTAAAATGAATGACAGGAACATAAAAATCTTTTAAAAATGCTTCAACTAATAGGAAAGTTAAAGTTAACCCAATGACGTAACCATTTTTAAATCCATTAAAAAATCTTAAGATTGGTAATCCCTAGTGGTGCTGTGGCACAGCTGGCTCTATAGCATACTAGCGGTGATATAAATAACTGTCTTTGTGAAAGCGATGTAACATTAATTAAAATATGATGCAGGGGTGCCATGTGTGGGAGTTTTTCAAGGTAATTAAAATACTAGAGAATAAAGCTAGCTGTCTCTGATATCTGTTACAACATTTTCTGATAATAAAAACAACAAAAACCATTTAAATATTGTTCAAAAGGTGCCTCTCAGGAAATTCCACCAGGCCTGTGTGACAGAACAGCGTGGGGACCTCTGCTGTCCAGCACACTCCTCCCCAGTGTGACTTTATATCCTCTTTCACAAAGCTGAGGTAACATCACAGATTCATTTGTGTCAACTTGAAAGGATTTTTACTATATGCATGCCAAATTCAAAAAGAATTCCCAGAATTAAAAGCATTCCTTTAAAATACATACATGCTTACCTTTATTTGCATATATTTATGTCCTCAAAAAATGGGGAGAAGTTTGCCTGAAAGCATGAACACAGCTACTGCCTTTGCAATTAATGTCACTAAAAAGGAGAGATTAAGGGAAAGTGACAGGAGATGTGAACCAACAACTCACTGAAAACAAACCCTAATGGCTTGGTAACTACAGGGAGAAAAATGCGGCTGTACAAGCCCAGCACTTTCTGAGAACCTACTTCAGTCAAAGCCCCCTTGCCACGCTCAGTGCACTCAAGGAGGCCACACTGGTGCTGCAGACACTGCTGAGAAAGCCCTTCAGGGAATGTGTTGTCTGCGTGTGGAGATGGGCAGATGTGGGGGGTGGGTAGGAGGGCAGCACGCTGTGGGTGAAGAAATACAGACCTTTGGAGAGGTTAGAGTTCTCACCCTCACCTTTCCCCATTATCTATAGAATTTAAAGTCTTTTTTTTCTCCTCATTTCTTCATTTGAGAAGTTATAAGTGAAGGGATAAAAGCGGTCATACTGGACCATGCCCAGGACCAGAAATGCCTTCTACCTGAAGCCGTGCCTCAGGCCGCCCTGTGGTGCTGTGTCCTCCCCTCCCTCCTCCTTCCTTTTGTACCCTCATTGCTGGGGACCAGCCTTCTCTCCCTTGGCCATAGCCTGCTTGTGACTTCCTGTTTACTATGACGTTAGTTCCTTCTGCATCTAAGTGATTTTGATCCTAGCGAGTGTAAAAGCTTGATCTCAATTTCACACACACACACACACACACACACACACTCAAGCGCGGGGGCACTATAACCCTTGACACAAATGTTATCACAACCCTTTCTAAATAAGAAGCCGGATGTCACACCGAATTCTATACAAATACAAGTTTTGTTAGCAATAGACAAAGCTTCCAACACCAAAATGGCCCAAGATTAATTGCAAATACTTTACATCGTTGAAAAGTAATGTCTTTGTATAAAGTTGGAGTCTCTGGAGGAATGGCGAGGAAAACTGGTGGTTCTGGCAGTTCTGGCAGGCCAGAGAGAAATCCCTCAGAGTGCGTCCAGTCACAAGATTACCACAAACTGTACACACAGAACTCCATGCTGTTGTCCCATGACGGTTCTGGGTCTTTACCGCTCCTCTGCTCCCGCCCTGGACTAGAGCAATCAGGGACAGGCTCACACACTCTGGGGTCTGGGCTCCCTGCTGCCTTTGAGGAGGTCTGTGAGCTCCCCGATGTACTCAATGGTGTACTTGAGCGTCTGGATCTTGGTGAGTGGCTGGCCTCTCTGGCTGTAGACGGGTGGCAGGTAATTCCGCAGGGTGTGTAGCGCGTCTGCCAGGGTCCTCATCCTGAGCTTCTCCCTCTCACTCGCCTTGCGCCTCCGCTGGACAGACATCTTGACTTTGGTGCCCTTCTGGCTCTTGGGGCCCCCGGGACCCTGGAGATAGGCAGGCTGGAAAGCTAACCTGCTGTAGTCCACCTCTACAAGGCCGCCAGGGCCACGGCTGCTGTGGCCATCGCTTCCCCCGTCTCCAGCTCCGCCCTGCCCACAGAGCAGCCGGGCCCCAGCCGGGCATGGGGTTGGAGAATACAACTCCAGAGATGGGGCTGGGGAGAGGCTCTGAGTCGGAGAGGCCTGGCCGAGCACAAAGGGCCTGGCCCTGTTCTTCCAGTCCCAGGAGGACAGCAGGCTGGGGCTGTCCGAGGGGTCCAGACCGTCCTCGAGACTGAAGAAGGGCTCCTGCAGGCTGTCCATGCTGCGGGACAGCTGCGGAAGGAATGAGCCAGGCAAGTGGGAGAGAGACTTGTGCTGCCAGCCCAGCGCCAGGCGGGCCAGGGAAGAGCTTTCTCTTTTATGATGGTGAAGAAGTGAGAAACAGGGCCGGGTGGAAGGAGTTCAAAGGGAAACCCGGGACCGACATGGAAAATGAACTCTTCGGGTGTCACTTTCTCCTCATCGATAATTAGCGTCCTCCAGCTAAAATGTCTTTAAACAGAAAGGCCTCTGAGGAAAGAAAAAAGGAATTATCTTGTTGTAACTAAACCAATTAAGGCTGCATAACTAGGCTTAGCATTGTCCTGTGGAACTCATTAAAGAGGGAGCTAAAGAAAACAAGCCCAGGCATCTGCAGTGAAGGGGGTGGCAAGGAGCCTGGCGGCTGAGCAGAGTCTGAGGGGGCCGCGAAACCAGGCCTCACGCGCTCCGGGCAGATGGGTGAGTTGTCGGAGACAGCGTGGTCCAGGGACCGGGCAGCTCCTCAGGCTTCCATTCCCTCCCATATCAAATACAGACAACGGCTCTGTTTCCTGGGCTCCTGGGAGGAGCGCACCTGGAGCCACGCTTGGCCACCTGTGTCCATCTCTCCTGTGCCGGCAAAATTCCCGGGTTCTTTAGAGGGAGGACCCCTGTCCTCTGAAAGATGAAGGCCCTGCTCTGGAAGCCTAGAACCTTAGAGGTAGGAAATATCCCCTAAAAGATAAAGCTTCCATTAAATAGGTGTATTTGGATTTCCTATAGAGAAGAGCAAATTCCTCAAAGCTAGGGAGTTTAGCAATACCTAGTATTCAGTCTTCTAAAGGTCTTTTTAAAGTCCAGCTGTGGAGTCACACCTTGCTCCTTGAAAGGTACAGAGGAAGTGTGAAATTAAGCAGGGAGTCTGTTTTCCCCACACAGCCCAAATGCCACCGAGTGTGCTAGTTGGATGGTCCTGCCAGTTTGCTTCACTTCCTATGTGCTCTGATAGACACTGTATTTTGGAAAAGAAGTCTCAGATTCCCCATTTGTCTCATAAGCATAATTTATTCTCCATATTTTTACGAATTAGCCTTAACATCAGAGTCACAGTGAGTTACACTGTAGAGTTAGATTAACATGTCATTTAACGTGGTTAAGTCCCTTTGCAATTACAGAGAAGAAATGTCAATGATTAATTAAAACATTTATGGCATTTTTTAATTAACAAGGCTCAGGGAAGAAAAAGTCTCAAGCAGGTAATCTTTAGAGGAATAATTTTACCATGTTACAAAGCCAGACTTGAAGGATAATAGTATTAATGAAATATAAAAATGAGTAAACAATTCTTTCCTTTTTGCCTCTCCTCTGTCTTCCTTCAACTCTTATTGAGAAGTCTAGAATGTACAGAAATTATTCAAGGAATTTTACATATATCTATGCCTCACATTTTTAAAAAACCCAATATTTCACATATGAAGTTAATGAGACTCTTAGGGGTTAAAGAGGGTCAACTAGTTAAGACTTCCCGGCAGGAAGTGGCAGGACTAAGATCCCCTGTATGACCGGAAAGCGAGCCATATTTGACATGTTTCGCCGGGGATTTAGTTCAGTGGCACCACACTTGCCTTGCAAGCGCAGGGTCATAAGTTTGATGCCCCGTAACAACAACAACAAAAAAGACAGAAAATCTGTTTCATTCACTTCAGCTGGTGGTATGGAGGCACAGTGACCTGACTGTGCTCAAGGGAGATTCAGGGGCACCTTTGGCTGGGAGGCCACTGTTCTAGCAGCTGCTCGGCCCTTGTAGCCTGAATCTCCCCGGTCTGTCTGCAGCAATCTCCACTGTCAGACTCCACAACTTTCCTATATGTCTCCAGCTTCTTTCTCAAATTGCTAATTTCCTTAACTTCTATTTTTAGAAATGTAATTTCCTGAATGAGATGGGCCTGTCAGCTCCTTGGTAGGACACTTAAAAAGTTCAGGGCTTGTTACTATAGTTGCTGCCTGTTCACGGCCGAACTTCCAGTCCAGAGATGAGCTCAGAGATGAGCCCAGTGGTCCACACTGCAGGCCTGGAAAACAAACTCTTGGGATCAGAAGACTGCCTGGCTTCGCACTTCTCAAAGGCTGTCTGTGGTAGGCAGTAGAGCAGCCAGAATCGCAATTACTGAGCCTCACTTATCTTGTGGACGCCGTCTGCACTCCACCTGAGGGAGATGAAGGGGAAGGGGAAGGTGACACCATTAGCATAGGAAGGACTATGGCTAATATTTTCCAGACTCCCATTAAGAACAAGAAACGGGTAGATAGGGTAAGTTCTCAGCATGCCTGAAGCCCTGGGTTCAACCCCCAGCACCCCAAACTGGACAAGTCTAGACCAGATTCAACAAGCCTGGTTGAGAGTATGGGTAGTGAGCAGATGAGCCAGCAGTCACCTCTTTAGGGCAAATGGCCCCCGCCCTTGTAACCTTAATTAATTTGTAAGTGGTACAATAACTCGGGTCCTATTCTTTAGTGAAGAACGTCTGTCAGATGAGCAAAGTGGACCATTAACTCTCCTCCAGCTCCAAACACCACAGCATGGTCCCCACGGCGTGAGTACGCTGAGAGGAAGGAGCACCGTAGCAGCAGAAAGGGCTCAGAAACCAAGCAGCCCAACACTCCAGCTGCACAGAAAGGCACTCAGGGTCATGCCACGGGCTGCAGCCCTGATGGGAGGAGAAAACCTCAAGCTGCCCGATTCGCAGATGTCTTTTTGATGTGGATTAAGTGCTAAGCTCTTATATCAGGCAGATTGCACATTGTCCACATTACTGAGTTACTGGAATATGTTTGTAATATTTTAATTTAAATGTCATCCATTCAACTGATATTTATAAACTATTATAACTATAACAGTTGGAAAGAAGCTGCCAGTCTGGAGGCCTTTTCCCGAGAAACTGAAAACAACCTCCTGGTCCTGTTTTCCTGAAAAATACAGAGGCACAGGCTATGTCGCCCTCACAGCCTGGGCTTTCAGATTAACCTCTGTGTAAATTGCGAAAATTTGGGCTTGGATGGTTTCTGCCCCGTGTGTCTCCTCGGCCAGACGTGTATGCAGGACACAGGGCACAGCTTCCACACTGGCGGCTCTCGGAACCTATGAGAAGTTCCTCCTCTGCAGCACTGGCACCTTCAGTATGTTAGTGGGTGTTCAGCCATTGGTGAAGAGACAGTCGTAGCAGTGGCAAGAGTGCAGTTCTTGGAGCCAGACCGAACCTGGTCACATCTTCCAGTTGCCCCTAAACAACTGTCATCTTTGACACACTAATCTATTCTCTTGGAGCTTTGCTTCATCTGCACAACTGAAATACTAGAACACTCCTAGCAGAACAGACACTCGTGCCAGTACTGTTCACTCTAAGCTTTACATATACTAATAATATAGCAGTGATTATTAATTGTGTGTTCAGTCAATTGTGGGTTCCTTGATCAAGAGAAGTGAGATCGGCAATACACGTAGACACAAATACATTTCTCCCACTTTCTCTTGGCCTTAACTTGCCTCTGCTTTATTAGCTTACCTATCATGCTGCTACAAAGTTATAAAAAGGTAAACATTGAGCCTTGACTTAGAGAAGTATAAAGGGCTATAGGGATATTCAATATTTTCAAGATTAGCAAAAATACTTTCACCAAAAAAATTAATCCAAACCTGGCAACACTACCATGTTCTAAGACACCAGGTAAATCAGCTTGGGAGATTGTGCAAGCTCTTTTGAATGCTTGTCTTGTGAGGAACAAACCTGCACTCAGAACAGAACTATACCCCACATCTCCGTCCCAAACACTGCGATGTCTCCTCGGAAACAGTGTCAGTCACAGCACAGCTGAGCATAGCTGTGAGGTGCAGGGCTGGGTTCACATCCTGCCTCCTCCCAGAAGCTTCCCTGGCCTGTCTCGGAGCTCAGATTTCTCCCTTCTCCATCAACAGCACTTGACTTGGCTCCCTTCATTTGACGTTAATACTTACTGCCCGCTGTTCGGGTTATTCATTCACATAAATATGGGTTCCCATTGGCAGTGCAGACAGAAGGTACACTGAAACACTTTCATGGTCAGGAAACCATAGACTGAATGGGGAATCATCTTCCCAGCTCCCCACACTGTGCTATGACTTAGAAAACAATCACCAGTAACTTCGCAATTTAGAGTATAAAAGGGGAAATAACTCATCTCTATCTGTACTGTTATCATGACCAATCCTGTTTGCTGATAAGAAATTAAGGCCCAGAGGAGTTCAGTAACTCATCCAAAGCCCCACACCTACATCTGGTAGCCCCTGGTCAGAACCCAGGCAGGCTGGCTGGAGTCCACCTGGCAACCCAGCTCTGCTTCCTTCTGAGGACAGCTGGAGGCTCTGCACTCTGAACTCAAGTTTGAATGGGCGCTCTGCAAAGACCGGGACTGATCGGCCACACCCCTTCATGCAGCAGGTCCTAGCCAGTGCAGTGGGCATCTGGGAACCAAAGACCTACAGCAGTCCCTTCCTTATCCAGTTTCATTTTCTGAGGTTTTAGTCACTGATGACCCACCATGGTCAAAGACATTAGACAGAAAATTCCAGAAAGCAATATCTGACAAACTGAGCTCTCAGCTGTCCTGCCGCATCTGCTCCTCTGCTGCTGGTCACTTGGTGGCCATCTCTGCTGGCCCAGGGCCCGTCAGGCCATCACAGGGCACATGTTGCAGTCCCCCAATGCTGTCCTCGTCACCCAGGCACAGGGTCACCGTGCATCACCACAAGAAGAAGGAATGCAGCACAGTGGGTCTTCGGGAAAAAGAGAAAACATAATTCTTATGACAGGATAGTGGTGTGATTATTCTGTTTTTAGTTAGTGTTACTATCTTACTGTTCCTCCTTTATAAACTTTGCCACACACATGCAGAGGAAATAAAACCCTGTACTATGTGTAGGGTTTGGTATTCTGTGAAGTTTCAAGCATACACTGGAGTCTGGCACATGTCCCCCAAGGGTAAGG